ATAAACTTTCTGATTTTAATAAATATTTTAAAAATACTAACTAGTTAATATTTTATTACTTGAAAATATTGTATGTTTTATATTATAAAGTAATTAATTTATTCTTTTGTTTTTTATTTTTTGTTAATTCTTTTTTATAAATATTTTATTTGAAATATTAAATAGAAATTATTAATGGAATAATTTATATTAATATACTGTATTATTTTAATATAATATACTAATATATTATATTATTAATATACATTAGTCGACATAATAGGAAAAACCATCTTTTTTTTTTGTTATTTGGACCGATTTGGTCAACATTTCTGAAATATAGGAAACGTCAACCGAAATAATGTAATTTTTATATTACCATCCATTTTCATGTCGGTGAGCCTCGACATCGACATATGTCGAGCGACATTAGCGAAATGTTGCGACATTTGAAACCATGAGTATGAGTGATAGGATTACCTAGAACCATTGAGACAGATTGATCCAAATCCGATTGGTTGTTGCCACAAGTTGGAGGATCTTTTTTCCTTCTTCTATAGGCAATTCTCATATCTTTCTATTGTCTATTAATGTTATCAGTCACATCCTCAACATCAGGAGCAGTAACAAGTTCAGTAGGAGTCCCACTGGATTCACCTGGGCAATCAGGAGTAGTAACAGGTTCAATGGGAGTCTCACTAGATTCACCTGGACAACTAAAACTGTGAGGATCAGGAAGACAAGATGGAAGACCCGAGGCTAAAAGAGGCACAAAAAAGGAAGGAGAAGAAAAACCCTCTTCCATCCTACTAGTCTCCCCCTAAAGAGGATTCTTGGAGGACTAAAAATAGGACTGGGACTCAAAAAACACCACATCCTTGGTGACATTTTTTCTTAATAATTGGATCATAGCACTTATAACCTTTTTGTGTGGGAGAGTACCCTAGAAAGACCACTTTTGTAGCCCTAGGATCCATCTTAGTTTTCTTAGGATCCTTAACATGAACAAAACACACACAGCCAAAGACTCTAGGAGGAAGAGGGAAATCTGGAAGGTTAGGACAAAGGACAGAGAAAGGAGTTTTCATACCCAACACCCTAAATGGATTCTATTTATCATATATGATGTTATAAGRACTGCTTGAGACCAATAGTTCTTGGGAACCTTGTGCTAAAACATTAAGATTCAAGTTGCCTCTAATAAATGTCTATTTTTGCGCTCAGCAACCCCATTCTATTGAAGGGTACTAGCACAAGATGATTGACTTAATTTTCTTGCCAAACTGAGTTTCAATCATTTTACAAAATGCCATGGTTATCCGTGGTACTTCATCACACCCTTTTAACAAGTAGATCCATGTGCATTGTGAACAGTGATCAATAAAGCTGATAAAGTAACAAAAGCCATCTATAGAAACAAGAGGTGAAGGGCCCCATACATCAGAATGAACTAAATCAGGAGTTGTTTTGACAACTAACACACTTCACAAACCAAACTCTTACTCGAAACACACTTGAACAACTCAGGAAATAATCCTTGCATTGAAGAAAAAGGTAAATGACCTAGTCTAGCATGCCACAAATGTAACCTAGTTACTAACTCTTCATTATCCCGACCACTAAAAGCAGATGATTGTAAGGCTGAACTGATGTATGCACCAAAATAACAGAGACCTCCAGACTCATGACCGCTCCCAATCATTCTCTTCGTCAATCTGTCCTGAAAGACACAACGAGTAGGAAAGAAAGTTATGCTACAGTTTAAATTTTTTGTAAGCTTAGAAACAGATAAGTAGTTGTAAGCAAGATTGGGAACATGTAAAACTGATTTAAGAGAGAGATCCTTGCTTAAGTTAACCTCCCCTTTCCTAGAGATGGTGGAGAGGAAACCAACAGCAACTCTCATCTTATCTTGGCCAGACATCAAATGATAAGAGGAAAATAAAGAAGACATGTGTGTCATATGGTCAGTAGCACCGGAATCAATAATCCAAGAATTATACACTATAGGACTAGTCACACTGTAAGCATAAACAATACCTGATTTGGCAAGAGAGGTAGAAGCAAGGGAATTGTTTCTTAGACGAGCCATGGCTCGACTAAGGATTTCTACCTCATTCAGTGAAATCAAAGGACCCTAATGTGTGGGAATTAGTGGTCTGCCCCATTGGAGGAGGTGCAACTGTAGGTGTGTTATTTGGGCTTTCACCGTTGTTACTTATGACAACATTTCCACTTGTTGTTTGACCCTTTTGAGGCTTCTTGTCATCCCTTAATGCAGTTGGTTTCAAGTGAGGATAAAGAATCCAGCAAGTCTCTTTCAAATGTCTGTCATCTCCACAATGAGAGCACTTGAGATGCCTCTTGTATGAATGCTTGCCCCCCTTTTGGGTTGAAGAAATCATGGTTGAATGCTCAACAGGTTGTACTTGGATGTCAACTTGCATCTCTTTCCTTCTAACCTCTCCATTCCTTACAAGATAGTAAACATGATGTAAATCTGGAAGTTCATCCCTTCCCAAAATTTGGGATCTTATGCTCTCATACATCGGGTTTATGCCAGCCAAGAACTTAAAAGCTCTGCCTTCTTCAATTTGTTTATCATGACTCTCTTTATCTCTTGTATTTTCCTAATCACATACAAAGCGGTGGTCTAATTCTTACCACAGTCCTAAAGTTGCAAAGTTGCAACAGACATATCCCTTTGTCTCAATGCAACAATATCTTGGGTTAACCTATAAATTTTTGCATTATCTTTCCATTGTCCGTAGCTTTTAGACACCTCCCAAATCTTAGAGGTTGTAGGGAAGTGCTAAACAGTCCTTGCTACTCTTGGAGTCATTGAGGCAAGCAGCTAGGACATAACAGTGGCATTCTCCTTATGCCAGGTTGAATAATCAGCATCATCCTCTTTAGGTTCCTTCTTCTATCCATCTATATAACCCATAAGTTCCTGGGAAGTAAGAAAAGCTTGGCTGAAACAAACCATTCTCTAAAGCTGTATTCATCTAACAACACAATGGTGATCTGCAAGCTATGCAGATCTAGGTTTTCCAGGTTTGAAGACCTCCCACCAATCCTATTGTCCTTAGAGGACACTTCTCCTGATATTGAAGACATATTCTTCCTCTTATAGTAACCACAGCTGTAATCTCAACAAGAGGGACAAGATTTCAGACTTACCGGAGTTGTTACTAGGCTGAAAGCACCCTCTATAAATGGACTGAAGCACTCTCTGTAACCAGTTCTGGACTGAGAGCAGCTTCTATTGTCAAAAAACACCACTTTTGGAAGTTAAACCTGGGTTGTGACCACCCCCTGCGATCTGTTCTAACTCCTAGACAACAACTAGGACTGTCCACTCAGTCCTTCTTCCTAGATCTGTTCTACCACTAGTAGGGCATAAACTGCCGGGAAAACCTCTCCTTGGGCCCTACAACCAAGAGAACTTGTCTCCATCGGGGATCAGGGATGGAGGATAACTTTTATCCCTGGCAAGGACTGGGGTCGGGGATGGAGATTTTGTTAGCTGAAATACARCAGTAGAAGAAGAAGAGAAGAGAAGAGAAGAAAAGAGAAATTTGTGAATGGGCGGCAATGTGTTCTTAGCCAGCCCTAGAAGCTATTATATATATTCACAATAAGATGTTACAGGAATAGACTAGAATGCCCCTGATTAGTTATGGGACACATAGGCATAATAAAATAAAACAGGTTTAGGTCCAATAACTAAAGGCCCATAACAGACTAAAGAAAACATAAAAGATAAAGAAGACCACCAACACTTCACCACTCGAACCAACAGATTTATTTCAAAATTGGTTTAAGGGACAGGGAATATGATCTCTGCCGAGTTGCCATTCCTAGTCCCAATCTTGTTGGAGAGTATATCAAGTTGGCATGCATAAGAATTGCTCTATTTTCTTCGGAATAACAATCCACTTGATAACTGCCATTTTAATTAAATAGAGAAGTTCTATAGGATGATATCATACAGGTGTTCTACCCAAAAAAAAGAGGAAAAACAAAATTAAAAGATATCATACAGGTTGTGATTAAAGAAGAAAACTATTGAAAAAATAAAATAAAATGGTAGGATGTTAAGAATGAAGAAATTAGGGAATATTGTGTTTGAAGCAATGTTTTAAAAAATGGAGGCATGACATGAGGCATTCCACTACCTGGAGGTGTGTGTAGTTCAGAACACAAGGAGGCATAAGCCTCCTTAAGAGGAGGGGGATGAGGAGGAACAAGAAGGAGGGGGGGGAGCAAAAAGAGGAAGGAGGATTTCATTTTTCTTTATTTTTATATTTTATATTAAGAAGAATGAAGATGCATAACACTAACTGAAAGGGTAGCACAAAAAAACCAAATTGGGCTGCATAGAAAAGGGGATGGAGGGCTTCGCCCCTGGCCCACTTTCTTTCCCCTTACTTTTCCTTCCCTTCCCTTTTCTTTTCTTTCTTTTCTCTTTTTCTCTTTTCTTTCTTTCTTTTTCTTTCCCTTCCCTTTCTTTTCCTTTCCTTTCCTTTCCTTTCTTTTTTTCTGACTTTTTGTATGAGGTGTGCATAACATCTCATGAAAAAAGCATATGAGGTGTATGCCTCTTGCACCTGAGGCATACACCTCAAAGGTATAAACGCCTCTGGCAACACAAGGTGTTTTGGGGGCACCTAGCTTGGAGGCATGCCTCCAAGCGTACCCCTCCCACACCTTTAAAACATTGGTTTGAAGAAAACATTATTGGCAATGAACAATAATAGCACTTTGGATTAGCACCAATTTGTAACACAGTAGAGATATATAAAAAGAATGAGATAATTTGGTTACATGAAACAAATACTAAGGAATAGACTGGTGAATATTTTGATTTAAGGCAAATTGAAGGTTCTACAAGGTCATGGGTAGAAGATTGGAAACAATACGTACCAACTCCAAAGCCATGGCCAAAACCAACTCCACATCCAATTCCTGCTTCAATGTTCTTTGCTCCCAATCTTCTCAACTAATAAACAAAAGCCAAAATACAATGTACACATGGTTAAAAACATATTTTTATCAATAACAGTAAATTTTATTAATAATTGAGAACTTAGGAAGTTACATAGAAAAGGAGCTAAAGAATCTTAACTCCCTACTATACCAATGTACACCCAAACCATGAAAAACTTACAACACAACCCAAAAGAGAGAGTTTTTGTTCACCCCTTGTCTAGCTAGCCCATCTGCCAAGGAATTTGCATTTCTTTTTATCCA